GAATTCTGGGAGTTGAAGTCCACCCGTCTTAAAGTTGCCAAGGTTGAGGAACCCTGAGCTACAGCATGGATCCTTTAATGAAAGGGGAGATTTTTTTCCAAGGCCCAGGCCCATGGATTTTCTTTGGGTAAGTCTAGTGAGCCATTAAGCCCAGTCTTCAAATATCCCCAAATAACCTACAGTTCCCCAGACTCCCACACTAACATGGAAATCTGTTATCTGAGGGACTGCTTCCCCCCGATAACATCTGCCCACACCATTAGATGTGGCAGGGAGGGTATGCTGCAGGACCCCTTTGTTAGGAACTTAAACTTGGTGGGTACCAGGAAGGGGGCCTTCTCTGCTGTGGTACCTGCCTTATGGAACATCCCCCAAGTGAGGTTAGCTCCATCCCTGTTAAAGTCCCTTAAGACCTGGCTATGTCATCAGGCCTGGGGGTTCCAGGGGACCAGGGAGGTTTTAAGGTGGCTCCATTATGGTAATGTTTACTCTCTCCTGTGCCTTTTTTTATATTCTAGTGATGAGTGTTCTATTTTTATTAATGATTGCTTTTATATAATTGTTTTACTCAATTGTTGCATGCCGCCCAGAGTCACTTTTTGTGAGATGGGTGGCCATATAAATTTGATAAATAAATAAAATCTAGAACACACTCAAACTAGAACTTAGTCCAGAGCATAAACTTACTTACATTGATTGAGATACCTAATTGAAGTGGTGTGCAAGGTTCTGCAGATTCTGGGTCACACGCCTACCTCTCAATTGAGTCTCCTAGTCTTTTTTCCTAGCTTCCTGCCAACCAAAAAGATCATATAGTTCCCTGGCTGAGCAACAGTCCCCCCCCCCCCTTCCCCTTAGCAGAACTGCCATCATAGGTTTCGTTATGTAAGGGATATTCCTCCTTTACTGGAGGAAATCCAAAACAGGAATCCCTTTTTCTGATGATAAATTACTGTCAGATTTTATGGATAGGTCCTACCAATATGTGTTTCCAACTGTGTATAGCCCTCAATGAGCAGTTTCAAAAATAGTTGTACAAGATTTTAATATGAGACAAATCTGAAAGCAGCTTGGACAAGCATAGACAGGTAACTTAATCACTGTCTGGAATTGGAGCCTTACTGGAAAAAAATTCCCTCAGACCTTAACCTGCTCCTCTTCTCTCTTCAACACCTCCCTCCAACCTGTGTCCTATCACTAAGAGCCCAGATTGCCAACTGTCACTCAGAACCTCCCTTCCTTTCTCCTGGATGAGAAGAATAGATGAATTACTTGAATGAAGGTTACATAATATAACCCATTCTTTTTCCCCCAATGAATAAACATGCAGAGATTACACATCCAAAAATAAGTATCAGTGTGAGATAAAATAAGTTTTGGCAACCTAACAGGTTCCCCTCTTCAACAGCCAGCCTTATCTACCTACTTTCCGACGTCTTCCCCTCACCTCTTAGGGCCTACTAGCTCCACTCCCACTAATCACAGCCACCCTTCCATTCCACCCTCTACTCTTATCCTTCTGCCCTTAGTTGGCCTCTTATCAATGATTTTGTCAAGCAATGTATTTTAAGGCAGTTTCTTTTTATAATGCACCATTTTTAGAAATAACTGCCTACATGAAATACAGCCTGGATGAGTAACTGCTTAACACGTGCCTACCCATTAATCCAATCGGCCATCCAGCTTGCTTCAAGAGACTGAAAACAGTGTATTTTGAACCTCTTCTGTTCATCTTTCCTTACAAAGGCCACCCAGTGAGTTTCATGACTGACTGAACATACTGTAGATTGATTGAAGTTTTGTATAGTCAATATCCCAGCAATAGAATGGCTACTTTAATGGAAGCTGTGGAGACTGTGTTTACCTTCTATCTATTGCTTTTGCTAAGGAACGACAGCTTTTCAGTTATTGTAATGCTCCTGTCAGTGATTAGCTGAGCAGCCCTAATTATCAGAGGTGAGTGGCAGATAGAAAAGTTTCTGATATTGTTATTCAGCTCTGAGTAACAGTCAGGTTAGTCAGAAAGGCCTAAAACAGTAGAATAATTAGAAAGGAGGACAGAGAAGACAGCAACCTAATAATTTCATAGACTGAAGAAAGTATCTTTCACCATAGTCTTTTCCAACCTATTTCTGTCTAGATTAGTTGAGCTTCAGCTCAGTGTCACTGCCAAGGTTAAGGGAGAGCTTTATTTGGTATTAATATTTGGTGATTTTGGGGAGGTGGGATTGATATCCTAAATCTGAAAATTAGTCTTCTTTTGTAGTAAACTATACTACAACACATAGTGCTCCACACCAATAATTTACTTATTTATTCAATTTATAATACAGAGTTCCTTGGTTTTCCTTCCCCATAAATGCTGGATTTTGAGCAACTGCAGTGTCTACTACTCCTGAAGAACTGAGTTTTGCTAGGTATATCTCACTTTTTAACTTTAGGCTCTTTATCTTGTCCCAGAGACCAAAGCAAGAGCTGAGGTCAACCAGGCAAGATAGCAGTCATATCCTTGAACCACCTCAGAAAAATTATAACCTGCAGTTCAAAATGCTAAAGTTAGGAAGCAGACAAGAAACAAATACTATTGCACAAAAATGCTAAAGTATAACACAAGGTGTTTTATTTTTTAATTCAATTTGTAAAAGTCCCTTTAGAAACAGAAAGACACAGACACAACAGTTCGTTTTTAAACATTTCATCCATCTTAATTTTATGCAAATCACAAAAGAAGTATTGTTGCAAAGCTTTTAAAGTACACATGTAAATAGAATATATACATACAACCTTTTCAAGTCAATCAATATATCATCACTGAATTTGGTGAAAAATAAAATAACATAGCCACTACTTTTAACTGGAAATGCATATTTTAATATTACAAAGCAATGTCTGTTTTAAAAAGTAAATGTATGCATTCAACAAAATGAAGCTGAAATATACCGACCAAACATTTTAAGAGTTTTTTGTAATTCACATACAGAGTGTCAAAATGCCATTCTGTGAACTATGGTAAGATATGTTTACCTGCAGTGAGCAAAAAGTATCTCAAATTTATTCTTTTAATTGTAGAATATGAATCTATTTTCCCAATCCTACAATACAAAAGGCTAACATTTAACAAAAAATAGGGCAACCTGATATCAGCTATAACATTATGAATTAAAACATGTACAGAAATAATCAATCATTGCTTCAATTCAATTGTTAACCTGATCGAAGAAAATTCATTTCCTTTTGAGAACTGAGCAAATATATAAACTGCTTTTACTGCCACCACCCACTCCTTGCATAGTCATAACTGGCACTGATATTGCTTACCATAGTCTCAACAGAAAATGTTAAATCAAAACATTGTAGTTTGCTAATATCAAAATGAACTAATCTACACAAAGTTTAGTTTTTAAAAAGGTTCAATGAAAGTGAAAACATTCTAAAAGTTCTTATAGCAAATAAAAAAATATAAAACTAGACATTGTCATAAAAAACAAACATTCCATTGTAAAATTAGCTATTAATATAACTAATGAACCCGACACATGCAAAATTAGAAGCATAAGGCTGTTGTGTCAAATGCTTTTAATAATGTGTAAAAAAAAAATCTTGCATCTTTCAGGTGATACCAACCCACCACCCACCCCCTGTACATTGTTTGTAGTACTATTTCAGAGTATGTTAACATCCAGAAAATGTGGCATTAATAATTTAGGAACCATGATAAAGATACATTGTACCTAAGACAGTATTATCGTATTTTTGTGCAACTTTAATCGAATTGGAATGCTCAACAACACTGTTAAGTTCAGGAATACTTTCAGCAGTATCCCCAAAACCATGGAAATGTCCATAGTGCAATGTATCTCCAAGGTCATCCAACCACGAGGGCCTATTTGAAACCAGACTACTCGGGCTTCCATTCAGATGCAAAGAACCACACATATCAGAAGCATTTAGAACTTTTTCTGGTTCTTCAACACTATGGCCATCACTGATTATATGCTTATGACCAGAGATTAGTGCGTTAGGTACTATCAATGTTAGGCATTCTTCACGCCTGGAACTCAATCCATTGAGTTGAGGTGGGGAAGTGAAGTCCAAATGTCCATTGATGATATTCCCATTTGCCAATGCATTCAATATGGAGTTACTGCAATTCATATCTGTATTAAGAAATAGACCTGTCAAGCACAAATTGACTCAAAATAAAAACCATCTTCTCTACACTATTTTTTTTTAAATGTATAAATTGAATATGTCTCAGGTCAAACTTATATTTTAGATCTTAATCAGCTTGCTTATACATTTTATACCTTTTCTGATGAAAAAAATAATCTAATACAGATAGTGCTATACATACTTGCTTAATAGTATGCTGCATCAAAAACAATGGGTTTATTTTAAGTAACTATGCCTAGGGTAATCTGTATGCATATTTCTAATAGTTATGGCTGGTACTATATGTGTTGCATCGTACAAAGCTGTAAGCAGTATTTTGGGAAAGAGGACACAGATAATGTTAGGTACAATTTTAAATGCTATAAAACCACATTTTATAAGGTTTCATAGAAATTAAAACTTGTGAACAGGATAGCTATTTTAATATTTAAGTTCAGACTTCAGATATGCATACAGTAAATAATTATGAAAACTCTTGGATTTTTACAATTATGAAAAGTCTTGTAAAAATTCAAGAATGGTTATGCAATGTATTAGGATCAGAAATTTTATATCAATTTTATTTAAAATACAAAGCAAAATAAAATCATTTTTAGAACACAATCTGTACAATTTTCAAAAGCGGCATACATTAATGCAAACTGTACAGAGGTATTTATATACTAGACCAATGAGTTGATTATTAATGCAATAATTACATAATATTCATAATGTACTTTAAAGTGGACATTTAATGGGACTAGTTCAGAAACAGAGCACTAAACCTCCTTGCAAGAAATAATGATGTCCTACCTTGTACAGTAAAACTAATGCTATGTTTGGCAAGTCACTATTTTTTTAATTTGTCTTGTTCCATCTATGAATGAAGGGTATTTTTTTGTTCAGCAGAATTTGGCTTTATTTTTGCAAAGTGCCATATTTTATTAATATTTTCACCATAAATGCTGCAAGTGCACAAGTAATTTGCAGTATCAGTGTTTTACCTCAATGGGACCATTTAAAGTCACTGGCCACAGCCTATTCAACTACTCCATTGCTTTGGTTTCTCCTGGTTTGTAAACTTATTATGCCATTAAAGGTAGCTTCTTTGAGTCATGATTTCCAGATCAGGGTTGATCTGTTTTGATTTACTACTCACATTTTTTATGGATCAATAAGCTGGTTCATTTAGCAGCTTCTACTAACAAGCAGACAAGTAGCAATTAACAGACTGGATGTTTAAATCCAGTTTTCCACAAAAGCTTGTAAGAAATATTAAATGCTACAGGGGTCCTAGGAAAGATATTGAATAGGCAAAATATGCTAATAGTTTTTTCCTCCTTAAAATCTGTATAAAATTCTTGTTTAACGTAAGGGCATTTCTAGTGAAAACAACTGTTATACTGAAATTACTATAAAATGGTAGGAAATGAAATTTCCACTTTAAAAAATGTATTAGCAATATAATTCTCTCTCTCTGAATGGTTTTACTGAGCTCAACAGGTCTTAAAGCTAGGTAACTGCATAGGGGTTTCCAACTCAGCTAATTTCTTCAATTGTATACAGAAATGACTAAATTATCCAACCTGTTTAATGTTCTTATACTAAACAAATAAATTGTTACCAATGAATACAAACATTAAAATTTACAGATAAAATCATATACAGTGGTACCTCGGGTTACGAATTTAATCCGTTCCGTGACTATGGTCGCAACCCGATTTGTTCGCAACCCAAAGCAAAATTTCCCATAAGGTTCAATGTAATTACCGTTAATCCGTTCCGGCGTCTGCAGACCACGCGTCAAGGGCGGAAAAACGACTGTGGACCACGCGGCATGGCGGAAAAACGGCCGCGGACCACGCAGCAGGGCGGAAAATGGCCGCGGACCACGTGGCACAGGCGGAAAATGGCCGCGGACCACGTGGCACA